CACACACACACACACACACACACACACATGTAAGTTCTGATATTTAGGGGTGTTACTCAAGGAGAGCAATGTACAAAGAAATAGAGGTGAGATAAGGACGATAGAATTATATTACATGTTTGATATGTAGGAAAGAAGGAGCAATTAATCCACCCCAGAACACTCGCCCAAGAGCGGGAGAGGGCTGATGATATCTGGTTTGGGGGAGAGGTGAGAAAGTGTATGATTGTGAGGGATGGTGATATCTGCCGGGAGGAAATAGGAGGGGGTGGAGGTGTTAGCTCAGTCTGTGTCATGTTGGTCAGCGGTGCGGGAGACCCGGTTTCGGATCCCCGACCAAGATCTGATGGGACAGTGTTTTGGGTTTTCTTTGCTGTTAACACCTTTGGATCGGCATAATCGGAGATGGACATTATTAACAATGGATCGTACAATGCTGAAAGTGAAAGGGGCCTTCTACCAATACCATTGCATTTTAAAATGGGTTGTTTTTTTTTTGTTTTTTGGCTTTTTCTCAGCGCTATACTAACCGTTATTGCATTGATGGGATTCTCTTTACTCAAACTATGACTAAGCATCATTTTGTTTTTATTTTTGATTAAAACATTTTTTTTTCCATTTAATGAATTGCCATAAGTGGGTGTTTTTATTTTGCTCTGGTGTGATTTGCCCTTATTCCCTTCTATCAAACACCTATCATTGACTATCATCGTCCTTACCCCCTTCTTTCCTTTGTATGTTTCTCAGTAGTTACACCTGTAATCTTCGGCGCTGACTGTATATTATTATATTATGACCTTCGTGTGTTGCAAGTACCGTAAAATTCCTATTAAAAAACGCAAACCCATCCACAGGGCTCCAAAATCGATGAACAGTCGACTCACGTGTGCACACGTGCCGCACTTTATAATCACTCTCTAGTACATCTTGTGCGTACGTGCACATTAAATCTGCATACGGACCGATCGCTATCCCGCGTGCTGGCGCATACATGAATACTGATTGATTGTTCTGTATTTAGAAGTCGCATCCAGCACTTGTGCGTCTCATGGGCCCATGCAGAGATGAGTCTGCTCATTTGCTGTGCTCCTGTGCTTGAGTCATTCATCCCTCCTAACTATTTTTATGCTCCCTCCGTGTTGAGATTAAGAAAAAACATTAAATGTCAGGGGTCACCGAACTATAGCCCGCGGATGAGTGTGTCGATGGTGGCGTAAAAACACCTTTCCTAAAAATACAATTAAAAAAATAGAACAAAATCATTTTCGGCCCGCGGGCTGCATCCGGCCCACAAGGCCAGCTAGTCTGACCCGTCGCTATGCCACCATGCGGGGAAACGAAAAGAAACAAAACAAAACTTAGAAGATGGGTTTGTAGTTTGCTCAGGACTTACTCATCTAAATGCTCGCTCATATGACCTTATGCAGTTAAAACACTTAGCCCCCCC